GTGATTGGTTGTAAACGGTGGGTTATGATTGGTTGCTTTTGGACCAATCATGAGGTGCCAGATATGCAAATTTGAGGGATTCTAGTGGCCAATCAGAGCAAGGTTTCGAAGGTCAGGTTTTTGGAAGGGAACCAATCATGGTAATTGTTTGCTCTCTGAGAAACCTCAGCAGACTCGCTGGTGTGCAGCTTCCCACAGAACAGTGATTAAATGTAAACAATAAATGAGCATACATATAAATTTAAAAAATAAAATGTACAATAAATAATGTTTAGTATATTCCCAGAGCACTGTATTTTAGGAGAAGATTATCAATTTTTGCAAAGAAGCCAGCTGGGATTTTGAGAACTATGCTGAATCTTTAGATTAATTTGGAAGGTACTAGGTACATCACCAGAGTTTATCTTGACATTTTTTTAAAATACCAGGGCTGGCAGGTGGCATGATGATTAAGGGTGCTGGACTCCCACATGGCTGATTGCGGTTCGAGTCCTGGACCAGGTGACTTGCTTTCTCACTTTCCCTCTCTCTGTCACTCTGTCCCTCTCTGGTCAAATTTAAATAAATAAATAAACAAACAAATAAACAAATAACATTAAATAAAATAATTCTTTTTTTAAAAATACTTAAATACCAATATTCAAATTGTTTGTAATTTAAGAAACCATTCTACTTTATTAATGAGGAGCTCCCTGAAAACACTTTATACCTTCATGCTACAAGGCAAAATTAAATTATTTTTCTGGGTTCTCAATCCTAAAAGGATATATAGGAGAAACTGTAAACTCTCCGATTGTCTCACTCTAATATATAACTTTTTCTTATAGAGAGATTTTTGCTATAAGGCCCATGTACTTGCAAAGAGACAGAAAGCAAGAAATCACCCCCTGGGGGGATGGCCATGTCACAATCTCCTCTATTCTCCTCTCAGCATTTTGGGCGCACGTGCACACGTGCCCAGAATGAATTTCAAGCTGTTGGGTTCAGGACTCGAACCATGGTCAGTCATGTTGGAGTCCAGCAACATAACCATTATGTCATCTGCTGGTCCTGATATATTATTATTTTGACATTTTTGGAGTATTCTATTTTTTTTAAAAGAGAGATTTTTGCTATAGGGAGCGTGCACTCACTGGAAAGACAGAGAGAGACAGAAAGCAAGAAATCACCCCTTGGTGGGGATGGTCATGTCGTAGTCCCTTCTCTATTCTCCTCTCAGGATTTTAGGTATGCATGGACATGCACCCAGCATGACATTTTTTTCTTTTTTTTTGGAGAGGATTTTGCTATAGGGCACGTGCAGTCACCAGAAAGACAGAGAGATAGAGAGACAGAAAGTGAGAAATCAGCCCCCAGGGAGGATGACCACACCACAATCTCTTCTCCTCCATTCTCCTCTCGGGATCTTGGGCACGCACGCACACATGCCTGGTATGAGTTTAAGCCACCGGATTCAGGACTCAGACTGCGGTCGACTACATGGGAGTCCAGCGACATAGCCATTATACTAACTCTGGTCCCAACCCAGCGTGACTTTTAAACCTCCAGGTCTGGGACTTGAACTGTGGTTGACTACGCTGGAATCCAGCAATGTAATGATTACACCATCTGCTGGTCCCTTTGGAGTATTTTTTAAAATAATTATTTATTTATTCATTTATTTATTTTAATTTGACCAGAAAGAG